AAGTAATTTTTGGTTATTTCCCTCTGTATAATTCCAACTATCAAAGAAAATGATAGTTATTTTCCTTTTAAAGGTTTCTGCTTTTTATTAGGTAATAATGCATCTTCATTCTGCTTTCTTTTTCCAACATTTATTAGTTTTCTTTCTTCATGGTAAATTTCATAGGTGATCTTTTCTTTCCTTAGATAAGCTCCTAGTGTCTGAGTATCATTTATTTTAAAAATATATGGAGCAATTTTTTCACCTTGTTCTTTCTTCAAAATACTTCTAATGGTGCTATAATTCTTAGGTTCCATAGTAGATCTGATATAAATGAGTTTCATATTAATTATTTTTGTATAGAGGTAATTCTATAAATCGCTTAAGATAACAATGGGATATTATAAAACTGATAATTATAATCATATTACAAATGACTAAATTTTGATCCCTGAAATTCTTGGTTGATATAAATGTTCACTTTGTCTGGTTTTGTTGCAGCATGCCCCATATGAACCCAACCCAACCAACCCATTATGTTCCATTAACAACCCTATCCAATTCCTATAATTAAAGTTTGCATGCTAATACTAATGCATATTTGTACAGTACTACATACTTCTGTTGGTTTTAATATATAATTATCTAATGTAAGGTCAGGTCTACAAGCCAATTAATTAACAATTGTTGATAGGCCACTGACAATTTTACTGGCTTTTGGCCACCTCTTGGTTTTTTTTGTACAAATTTCATTTTTATAATATTGATCTTACAATTTCATTGTAATTTCCTCCTTCATATGCCAATGCATTATAACTAACAAATGAACCCTCATTACTCACAGAATGGTATCTTCAAGTATTTTGAAGATTCATTTTTCGAAACATAAATTTTACTTTATTTACAAAAAAAAATTATTTTTACTTTTTAATGCAATATAACACATACACTAAATTTTGATCCCTGAAATCCTTGATAACACCAATGTTCACTTTGTCTGGTTTTGTTGCAGCATGCCCCATATTAAAAAATTAATAAAAATCTTTTTGCTGTTTGCAAATGTGGTACAATGATTTCATCACACATGTTAATGTTTAGGTTAAAAAAGGTTAACTTATTTAGAACATTTACATGACTTCAATATCAAAAAAAACAAGTTTATTCATGTATACAAAGAGTAATGTGATACAAAGAATTATGATCCCACGATCCTGTTCTACTACATATATTTATTAAGTTCTTTTTTTTTTAAAAAAAATTTAAACTTTTTATCTTTATCAAATAAAAATGACTAAAGGAGAACTTAAAGTCACAATTGGTAAATCTTATTTATTAATTATTTTTCAAAAATGATTGACAACTAATAATTTATTCTTTCTCAATTACGGATAAATAAATAATGATTAGTTTCAGCCAAAGGTTTAACAAACAAAGATGCTGAAGGTAAAAGATAATTTAACCGTTTTTTCTAAAAAAATATTAACATGTTAAATTGTTCAACTGTTCAACTAAATCGAAATTTTCTTTTTTATCTACAAAAATTTTATATTTTAGGAAAAAGTAATTATCATCATTGCCATATCATCAATCTTTACCAATTCATTTATATTATATTTAAGAATAATACTTTTTTTACCCCAAAAATAATAAAGGTGATCCATATGTTAAACTTTGGATTCAAAAAGAACATCCTCAAAGAACTAAAACTCAAGTTGGTACTTTAGAACCAGTATGGAACGAAACTTTTACATTGTAAGTAATCATCATTATCTTATTCTTCTTCATAATAATGAAAATATTAACTATATTTTACATGTCTATAATTAGTAAATTAAATGATCGTGATAAAGTACTTCATCTTAAGGTTTTCGATTCTGATGGTCCAGATCCAAAAAAAGACGATGAGGTATGTATAAATAAATGAATAAATGAATGCTCATGATGTTATTATAATTATAGATGGTAACAATAATCTTTATTTGTTCTCTCTCTAGCTTGGTGAAACAAAAATAAATCTTGATGAAGTTTTTCAAAAAGGAAAAATTGACAAAACTGTTAAATTACCAACTTGGCTTGGTCTTTTTAGTGAAGGTGAAGTTACTACAAAATTGGAATTTATAAAAGCTTAAAAAAAGTTTATATATAAATCATTTGTTTTGTATTATGATTTTATTATAATAAAACAAAATAAAATAAATAATAAATCATAATTTTTACAATAAATAGTTTATAAATTATAATTATTAGTAGTAATAATAACTCATTAGCATTAATAGAATTATGTTGTAGTGGTTGTAGTATTATTATTTGTTGATGTATTATTTGTTGATGATGTATTATTTGTTGATGATGTGGTTGTGGTTGGAATTGGAGACACTAGGCGGTCAATAACTCCTCCTACAGCATTATCAATAGCATTCTTAAATCTTCCTTCTTTTGATGTTGGCTTGACAAGAAACAGTTTAACTAGTGTTCCATTGAAAACACCTAGATGATTTGATGAAGCTAAATAAATTTGGCCCCATAAAATACTCGAAAACCATACTACACTAGCTTCTGACCATAGAAATTGTCGAATTAATATGGGTTGGGGTAGTGGTAAGATACCAACAAGTGTTACTGACTTTAAATATTCTAAAACCTCTTGATCTGTTGTGATTGATTGTGTCATGCACATTGATTGAACTTTGGGTATCAGCTCACTTAATAAAAGTAAAATTGTTCCAATTTGCAGATTAGAATGCCAAGATGAAACCCAATCTTCAGTAGGGACAAATCCCGACTTTCCAACTGAGAAAGGAACTACTATGACATCATTATTATTATTGCTATTATTATTGCCATTGCCATTAATATTAATGTTAGTATTGGTGTTGTTGTTGTTGTTGTTGTTGTTGTTGCTGTTGTTGTTATTGTTGTTGTTGTTGTTGCTACTTCTATTATTATTACTAGTTCTATTATTACTGGTTCTATTATTACTGGCTCTATTATTACTATGATGTCGACTAAGGGGAACAGTGACACCTTCTGGTAGTTTACCACGGGCCTTTTCAGAAAGTGGTGGCATTGGACCCTCTTCATATTCTATCATTTCTGATTGATTATTATCAAATTGAGAAGAGATTCGTAACATTGTTGTTTTCTCATTTACTGTTTCATCAAAATCATCATCATTTCTAGAACTTGATGAAATATCATCACTATTACTATTAAAATTATTACTATTAAAATTATTATTATTATTATTATTATTATTATTTGATGAAAATAAAGATTGTCGTGTTATTTCGTCCCTTTGATCTCCTCTACTATCTGCTGCTGCTGCTGTTGAATCCGTTGATTTACCATCACCAGTATTAGGAATATTTTTTGATTGTTTTTTACGTTGTTCTTTTGCAAGTTGAACCTTTTTAATTTCCGTTAGACCTCTTGCAAGTGTAAATTGTGACAGCTCTTCAAATTTCTTGGGATTACGTACAATAGCATAAACAAGGTTAGGGTTATCTATATGTATAAAGTATAGTAATGGGAATAATGGTTCATTATAATCGTATAATAATAATATTACTATTACTAATAATATTATTATTATTTAATAAAACATACCAGCATATTGATGTTGAATAATATTATTAAAAGCTTCCAACATATACTCGACTAACCGATGGTTTCCTTCTTCAGATAATAAAAATCCTGGTGCTGTAAACGAAGAAAATAATTGAACTAATTTTGTAGATGATACAACAGATAGGTTCTTCAAATAAGGTGATACATTGGTAATGGTCAATATAAATGCTGGATAAAGTGAATGTAAAGTGCCACGTGTAGTAGCTATAAGTGCATAAATTGACTTTATAATAAATAAAATTAATTAATTAATTAATTAATTAATAGTTAAATGTATCATTGCTTTAAATAAAATATATTAAACAGAATATATAGATTTAAAACTTACAATTATCATATAATCAGCATATGTGCCATAAAATGCTGGTATACGAACATTTCCAGGAAGTGATCCATGTCCCTCAAATACTTTATTCAACCTTATTGCAAATTCACGATCTGATGATAATGTTTGAAGAATAAACGCACACATACGTAACAAACCTAATTGAGCTGTATTTAATTAATCAATTAATTAAAAATCATCAACAAATTAAAAAAAAAAAAGTAAATAGTAGTAATTTTTTACAAACCAGTATCATTTTTATTTTCTAATGCATAATAAATTAACACAATTAATATGTCCAATACTCTATCAGTATCAAATAAGTAATTACGAAATCTCTAAATTTTTTAATCAACTTTAGTAATTTATAGAACAAAAAAAATCTTGAATATTTTCTATAATTTGTTTTACTGTCCTTTATCTATCTATACAACTATATATACCTTATTTATTTCAAGGAATTTCCAACAGAGCATTAAAGTTTCTTGATAACATCGTATTTGTTTTGTTGAACCAGGTAAATATGTATTGTTTGCCTAATTCCCCCAAAATGGTTTAAATTTAAAATTCAAGCCTCTCCAATATCAATTTATTTAAAGATTGGAATTTTATTAGAAATACCTGCATCGGATTACTGAGAATACGGTATATACCATCCATGATAAATTGAAAATCTTGTGTTCTATGTAACTTTGAAGTATAATGTCTAAATACATTATCAACATTAGGTGGTAAATTTCCTTTTTGTGAAGAGTTTGAATTTTGTTTATTAGAATTGTTTTGATTATTATTACTATCATTATTGTTGTTATTATTATTATTTGCTTCATTCTCATTAGTAGTAGTAGCAGCAGCAGCAGCAGTTGGAGGTGTTGTAGGTGTTGTAGGACTTAAGAGAATTGAATCTCTATCGCTGCTTGTAGTTTCTGTAGATATTGCTCGTGTATTAATTTGTTGATTATTATTATTACTGTTACTGTTACTACTATTAGTATTATGATTAATACGGTTTGAAGGAGAACGATAATCCAGTAGGACTAATAAAACCTGTAAACAAAGTGCCACAAGCATTTCTCGTGTATCAGCAAACATAACATGATTATATGGAACGCCCCAACCAGCAGGATTATACTTTACTGCCGTGTTTAAAATGCTACAAAGTAATGCTAGAACTACTTTGCGTTCTCTTTTAAGAACTAAATATTTTATCCATTTGTTTTCTTTTGATATAAATGTTGCTATATATATTACAATTTAATATTTAATATTTAAATTGATGCAATATGTATATATAATCAAAAAAATTACCACTATATTACCTGCTGACATATACATCGATCTTGAAATAAGAGTTAATAGCAATCTTAATGTTTCAGTCTTATTGACATCATTTTCTTTTGAAGAGCCAATTGGTATAGTAGAGCCTACTCCAGTCTCCCTAAATTAAAAAAAAAATTTTTTTTAATTAATTTAGAATATTTATTGATTTTTTTATATAATTCATACCAATTAACAGGTATCACTCTACTATATTGAGTAGTAAGGCTGATAGGTAATGTAAACCCAGCTAAAAACAACAATTCAATCACTACAGACAATAGACGTTCGCCCAAAGGTGGTATTGTTTCTATAGATTCGGTATAATTTATATTTTCCTATAAAATCAATAATCGACGATGAATATAATGAGGGGGTTTTTTTTAAATATATATATATATATGTATATATACTACACTACAGTACATTATTTTCATCTGTATTATTGATATTTTGACTTTCATAATTGTTTGTTTCTTCAATTGAATTGTCAACAACAACTTCTAGCTTACGATTTTTTTTTGATTTTCTTGTTTGAGCAGTCCAAAAAAAATTTTCTTCCCATTCTTCCATATCTTCAGATTCAAATATAAATGGCATGATCCTGGTAAGAATCCTTATACAATTTAAAAGATGAAGTATAGAGTTTTGAGGTGAGGGAAAATCTGGTGCTCTCACAACTACAAGAATTCGTTCAAAAGTCTAGAGCGAGAAGAAATTGATATATACATTGTATATAAATTCTAATTAACTCTAATTTAAATCGGTTCTTAATAATAATTGTACAAACTTTTAAAATCAATGTTTCCAAATTTTCTCTTGCATGATCTCTAACGCGTCTAATGTCCTGTGCTCCAATGAGAGAAAAGACATCTTCAGAAGTTTCTGGTAGTATCCAAAACTTTTTAAATGTTATGTATGATTATAATTATAAATATTAGGATTAACTAAATTTATAATAGAAGAAAAAACATCCGGTATGTTAAAATACCTGAGACCAATATTCATCATTAGGCCCAATATTCTATAAAAGATAAAAGTGAATGATTTGGTTTTTAACTTTAAAGGAAGAATAATGACATGTTTAAAATAATTTAAATAACATACACGTTCTTCAAATAATCTAAACACCCCTTTACGAAATGCTAATTTACTATCGGTTGCTCCCATAGTATATGTTTACATAAAGTTTTTTATTAAAAAAATTAAATTTTGGGAAAATTTCTATATTAATATACACAAAACTTCTAAATTCAGAAAAATTGGGTTAAAAAAGAATTACACAAAATGGAAGGGAACATTAATGATGATGATAAAAATGATAAAACTGATAAAGTTATTAATGATGACTATGATGAATTGGTAAAAAATAAAAAAAATCAAGAAAAACTTTTAACAGATTTACGGAAAAGATCTTTATTATTTTGGATAGAAGCAAGTAAAAAATCAAAAAAAACTTTGGCAAGACTTTATGAAAAGTATTAAAACATTTTATTTATATTCTTCCGTGATTGTTTTTTTTTATTAAAAATATTATCTTTCTTATCTCTAATGCATACAAGTAATCAAGATAATTTTTTGAAATAAATATTTATTTAGTACAAATATTGTAGGCGATTTCAAAGCCACAGATGCCAAGGAAACTAAATTCAGATTTGATTATTGGGAGACTCCAATGGGTGTTTACGATCATGTAGTTATTCGTAATAGTGATTTGAAAGTATTGGAGTTTCAATTTGAAAATTGAACTTATTACGTTACGTAAAAAAGAAAAAGAAAGAACCAGTACAATAAATAAACTCGACTTTTAATTTTTAAAAAAAGGAAATTTTGGGTATTACGAAAATGGTTGCGTTTAAGTAATATTAACAAGTGCTGACTCTGATTGGATCTTTTCGATATTGAGAGTGTGTTGAAGAAATGTTGTTCAGTATATGGTTTGTGTAGGTGTATAAGTTTCTTGAGAAGGGTGGTAAAGTGGAATGAGAAGTTGAGAACAATATTGATTGATGCACCAGCGATAGCAAATGGCAGAGTTGCCGAATAAGGATTCCGAGGCTTTACAGTATAGCCACATTTGAATGAAATACATGATGGGTTGGTACACTCACCATGTACTTTGACACTAGTTATCCGCCATTGATAATTCTGCAAGCCTAGTCTGTTGGAAAAACCGTACACAAGTTTGTGAGGATCGGTATTCACCAGTCATTCCAATAGTACAATATCTTTTGTGCTGCTCCCTCATCTTAACACCTCCTTACGAACATGTCCAACTCCTGTCTGTACCAGTTGTACCAATTAACATAACTGGTAGGATAAATGAATCAAATGTGAGACAGTTGATGGTGACAACAATGATGCTCTCTATTTTTTTTTTTGATTCTTCTCGCCTTGCGTCTAAACATTGTTATTGGTATAATATAATATAGAAGATATCTTCACCAAAAGGTATTGATTGATATTTCCTTTATAGGTAAGATATTCACAATCCCAAAAAATTTAGCACATGATAAATGCTATAAATAATAACTTTAAAATCCACAAATAAACCGTTACTCGTTCATCATCTAATATTCACCTCAAAAATTAGTTCGTCATTCTTTTGAAAATAGCATTTAACACGTATTACATGGAATAGATTTTACCAAAGTATCAAACAACCCTCCTCCTCCCTCAAAGTAACGAAAAATCCTTAAAACTAGTTAACTGGCAATGATCGATCATTACAGTAATGTTATAAAGTTCCTTGTAATGAAATTGGTCGTGATGTAGTTCATCCGGTTTTTCGTCGTGGTTAAAATGGTATTACGATGATGATCATTTGGGCGAACTTTCCTTTATTTGGGAGAAAGAAATCATACCACAATAAGGTTCTTTAAATTTTTAAGCTAAAGAAAGGACATTCTTTGCAAGACCTCCTACATCTCTTTTATTCATAGGTATTGGTATAGATATGTTGAATTGGATCTGTATTCTTTTATCATATTTGCAAATTATAACTAAATAATTAATCAATAAATCTATAAACTTTTTTTTATAGCAATTGCATAATTGATCAGATCAGATTATTTCCTGAGACGGACAATAACAAAAAGTAAACAAACCATTAGGAATAACATTTGTTGTTGTTTTGAATCGTGTTGCTCAATATCTTATGACAAAAGGTTACTTCCCTTCTAGCAGAGGAAATGTTGTGTTTGAAGCTGCCTTGATTCTTTTATCCTTGGTTGCTTGTTTAGTTATTATATTTGCTGTAGAAACGAGTTAATAATAATCATCTTTATAATTTTTTTAAAAAATACTATTTATTTATTTAAATGTTTCAATAGTAATAAATTTTTATTTATAAAAATTAAAAGTAACAAAACATTTTCTTATTGTGCTGAATTATGAATATGATTTAGATAAATATTTAACAACTTCATTGTATATAAATGGTTCATATTTTTTTATTAGTTTCCTTTGCTCTTTGAATTTTTGTACTATTTGTTTATGATTTCTTTGATTCAATTTATTGACTTTGTATGTTCTATTCGTTAATTTAATATCTCTTAGTTGTTCTTCTTCCCCTCCTCCTCCTCCTTCCTTTCTATTGCTTTCAATAATATTTTGTTCAAAAAAAACCTCTTCTCCATCTAATAATCTTTTAATATAATTATCGGGATCATAAATACGATATTTAGTTTTTCTGATATAACCTGGAGTTGTATTTGACAATCTTTCGAACGATTTCTTACACAATGCTTCTGACACACGTTTGAAATGGATTGAAATACGACCTGAAACTGTATTGTTGGGTGTCTTTCCTCTATATTATCAAATATTAAAATCAAGTAATTATTGAGTTCGGTTAACCGCCGAGCAACATTATTCATTAATACACATATAAACGTCTATATACCCAATATTTGCAAACTTATATTTTGCAATACGATCTGCAATTACTTGAGGGGTTTCACCCACATTATTCATGCTAAGCAAAGCCTTAATAGTTGCGACTAACACACGATCATTAATAACAAAAGGATCTAAAGTAGGCATTATTTTCGAATATAGTTCTTCTACCTTTCTAACTATTGCTGCCTCATCTTCAAACATTATCTCATCAGGTAGGTCTCTCTAGCCAAAAAGCATAATAGAAGTTTGTTCATGTCACATGCAGATCATTAATTTGTGACACAATTGATAAAAAAATTCCATTTTAATGTTTTTCATGTTTTTCATATTTCCTTCTGATCATCAATTATTAAATCAAATATGCTTAGAGAATAATTATTAATGTAATCAACAGGTATTTTATTTCTACAATAATAATTAATGATAAAATAAAATACATGGTATATTGTATATTAATATGCTATATGTAAATCTATTATTTAAAAAATTTAATCACCATTCTTTTACTAATTCAAGTGCATTTTCTAAATTTAAATTTGAATTAGGATTTGGTGTATTAATTTCTTCCTCATCTTTTTCCCCCATCTCCTCTTCTAAATCATCATCCATTAAAATATCTGATCCCTTTTCTAATCTTTTAACAAAAGAGTCAACATTATTAAACACACCCTTCTTATAAAACTCTTCACAATATCCACATCTATTATGTAATTTATTATAACAATTTACATGGTATCCATGTCCACATATTAATATTATTCCATCATCATCTTCAAAAGGTTTTTTGCAATGGTCACATGATTCAGGATTTGGTGGAAAAGAAGTATGATAGCCAGTAGGAAGGGATATTAAATCTATGTGTGCATTTAAAGTGGGTAATTTATAAGTATTATTTTTAACCTTTTTTGCTATATTGTTATGCTTAATATTATTATAAATTGAATGAAAGTAGTCTAATAAAAAGAAACTTCCAACATAGGTTCACTATAAGGATAATGATGATATTTTTTAAATTGATTTATGAATGTTTGATCATGAAGATATGCTTGATTAATTATTGTTTCGGGTGAATGTAAAGAAGTTGTATTATTCCTTATTTGGCTATGGATGTTTTCTACATAGTAATCATTAAAATTAACTACTAATTTTTGCAAATAATCGTGATCAAGATTAGCCTACTCATCCCATTAAATAAGAAGCCAATTAATTTGTAATTTTTGGAGGAGGAGCAATAGTAGTTTGATCTTAAATGCTTTTATTGCATGAGTTACTTGTGACTGAGTGCACGAGTGCTTTCATCTGCTTCCCAACGTCCAATTATTCAAAGTCTGTTAATTGAGACACGATGTTTTAATTAAATTAACAAGACGAAAGTTTAATCTCTCTTTTTTAAAAAAAAAAATTTGTTTGGTTAGATAATTTCAGCCGCAATTGCCATTTAAAGTTTGTGTTAATGGATTCCCGATTCCCGATACATCACTGGACCTAGAAAATAAGGTGATATGTCCTACCATTGGTTGATTATTGCTTTAAAAGTAATCTTGACGCACTTTTTATTATTGGACCGTATCATGAAATTGCAGGCCCATATGAAATTTTTATATAAATCGAGCAAAAAATTTAAACATGGTGGATCCCAACATACAAATGATCTTATTGTCCACGCGTCGCCATTAAAGGCTACTGAGAATAATTCACGTAATAAAAAAAAAATGTATAATATAATAGCATAGATAGTTCATATAAATGAAAACTTATAACATATATACAACAGTATAGAAACAATAGATGGATGCAATTCTTTTCAGTTTAATTACAATTAATAAAGAGATGCATTAACGCGTTTTTACAAACCAATATTTTTTATATGAATAAGCTTTTGAAGCTCAAATAACAACAACAACAATAAGGAGAATGGCGATGATGATTGTTGTACTATTTGTTATAAATAATATCTATAATATATTCTAGAATAAATATAATCTTTTGCAAATAAAAATTACTATGTTTTTATATGTGTTAATATACATTGATGGTTTTAATTATGATTACAGATCACCAATAGATTTCTGCACGTTTTTGTTTTAAATCCAGGCAATAGGGCTTTTAAAAGTTTTGTTGTTATGTGCTTTAAAGTTAAAAGCACAAAGACCAGCGTGATGACTAAAATTGCGTGCAAATCAAAGGACCTTATAACCATGCTGAATCACAACGCGATCTGGTGTTTTACACCCAGACAAAATATTCAAGTACAGTCAAGTGGATTATAATTAAATTCGCGCTATAACGAATCTTAAAAATTTTGTTTTACAACATAGTAATATAAATAGTAATGGTAATGGTTAAGGAAATTGTGCGTGTAAATGGTTTGCAAGAATTATTATTAAATGACTTTTTTTAAAAATGGTAAAATAAAGTAACAACAATCCAAAGTTGTAAATCTATTACGTCAAATTCGTTGCCATCAAGTCAAGTAAAAACACTTGACGTAAGTAAACTTACTTTAAAATATATAAAAAAAACATATAAATATATATATTCTCTTTCAATTTCTTTATGTATCTGAATCTCTCTTTGTTTCATCAGTTGTTCCCAAGGAGCTAAACTTCCTTTTATTGTATACAAATTAAGTTCCTACACACACACACACACACACACACACTCTCTCTCTCTCTCTCTCTCTCTCTCTCTCATTTACTACTAAGGCCGAACACTTCTTATATTAAAATTATCGCATGCTTTATTTCATGTTCCAGTATCAAAACTGATTTTAGTGCACAAAATTATTAGAATATTGATCAAGTTACTTTTGCAATAATACCTTCTTTATTATAGTGATCAATTTAACTTGAATAGGGATGGTACTCGCTTGAAAAAGCGGGGGAAAATAATAGATAGTTAACATTCTAATACATAAGACTCGGATAGAATCATTATTTTTAAAATCATTGTCTTTATTTCTTTGCTTTAAGGTGCTTTGATAAAGCAACAAGTGTAGTGCCTTGGTAAAAGTTAACAATTGTGGAGTTTTGGTAAAAAGCCATATTTTATTTGCTTTAACGAGCAAGCAAAGGTTAGGACTAAGGTTGGTTAACTAGTGAGTGTTAATGAAGTATCGTCCAAAGGAATACTGGTAGTATTATTATAATCATAAACATAAGGCTGTTAAACAAGCTACTCAAGTTGTTTTTCAAATAAACCAAAGCGAGTTTGCAATCGGCCAATAAATACAAACAACTGAAATAAATCAATTACAAGTGAATAAAAGAAACTTTATAGAAGCCTTTGTTTGAGCTTTGTAAAAAAAGTCGTTTTATTCATTTAGAGTTATCCGGCACCATTAAATGTACTTACAGACAAGAAAGAGGCAACAAGAGAGAACCAAAGTAGACTCGTAAACTAATTAATTGACAAGCACCGAATTATTATGAGTTGCTTGCAATTAACTGACAAGAATAGCCCAAAAGTTAAGCCACAAAAGGCAATACTACCATTTAACAAGAATCAGAAAACTGCGAAAAGTTTATTATCTCAAAACATTATTATAATTTAACTCTAAGAAATGAAATAAAGATAAAATAAATAATTATAACAAGTAAATTTATAGTGGAGATTAAATTAGTCACTTTCTCTTAATTACTAGAATCTAGTGTTTATTAATCAATCAAATAAGTATCGTTAGTAATAATTAATGGATAGCAATTTCCAATTAATTAATAATGAATTTTTATTCACCCTTGTTAAAATCATCGTTTTAGAGAAAAGAGTTAAAATCAA